TGGTGTATGTATGTATATGTATATGTGTAACTATGTATTCGAGTTAAAAATGTTGAGTAGTGTTTATTTTGAATTTTTCTTTTGTTTTTAATACCACGAAGAAGTGACGCGAGTGACGGTAATTATAAGGGCGGGTAGATATTGAAATAGAATAGAATAAAACAAGCTGTGTGAGGTATCAACGATTTTTTTATATTTTTTTTTATGGAAAATTCGACGAATGCCATTATGCCCTATTCTCAATCACTCTGCCTGGGTTATGTGGGGTTTCATGGCGTAGGTCCATTGCCACTCATTGGCATAGACCTGTGACTTAAGAAAACTCTATAAGAACAGGTCTAACGGGGTCAAATCGCACGGTCTTGGGAGCCAATTGATGCTATCACTACGGGAGATAATTTGGCCATCTCTCCGAAATGAATAAAAAAAAAAAACAATTAAAAAGTATAAGCACGGCCGTTGTTACGCCTTTCTCTAAACTATCTTTAAATATCAGAGTTTCGTATTTCTGAAATTTGCCGTTATATGGGAACTGGTCGTAATTTTAGTCCCATTTTAAAAATTTGCAGCACATTGCTCTTCTGTACCAAAGTGCACCAATAGGTGTACCGGGTTTAGAACTTAATAAATCGGTTGCCGATATCCACATTTGTGGCTTAATTGGGCCCATAATGCCCATTTTTCAAAAAAAAATATAATCACATTTTTGATAAGATTGTCGCAACATCGATTTTGAGTAAATTAGCTTCAGTAATTACCGATTTATCGCAGTTCTCGTGTTTCTGTAAATTACGATTATATGGAAGGTGGGCGTGGTTTTACCCGATTTCAAAGATTTTTAACTGATTTTTTGTGAGATATAGCATTTTATTCTAAGTAGCCCGCCTGCCGTCGCACCCATTTAAACAAAAAAAAATATTCTATGCCAAAATTCTATTTCATATAAAAATTTTTAACAATTCGGATCCAGAATTTATGGAAATATGTATAGGTTTTGCATTTTTCCAAAATATCGTTATATACGAAATGGGCGTGGTTAACATTAGATTTCGCCAATTTTCAACACAAACCTACCATTTTCAATACAAACCTACCTTGGATACCAAATTTTGTTGAGATCTCTCAATTTTTGCTAGAGACAGATATGACTTAATCGACTTCTCTATTCATTCTGAGCATTTTGGTATATACGCATATATCTATATAGATTCCTTTAGGCTGTTAAAAGCAACAGTTGTGCGAACAACTGCGCTCTGGTATAAAAACAGAAGGCTATGATGAGTGAATAAATATAAAGTAAATTAGAATTTGGACGATACTTTCCCGTGTGACAATTCGAAATGCAACCTTCTTATAAAAGAATATTAAACAATACATATGTACGTATGCAAAATCGGTTTACAACACACTTCACGTACAAATAATAAATTAGATGTTTAATTTTCGTCACTCGCGTTACTAAGTCATGAAATTTTCCATACATGGCTGTATGCTCGCCAGACGCACTCAACATTTCGTGCATTTTCTAAAAATTTGATTCTTTCATAAAAGTCCTAAAACCGTTTGTTGTAATATCTTTTTTTGTATGTACATATTTAACATTGAAAATAAACTAAAATTTAGAGGGTAAAAAGAAATAAATAAAAAGTTATCAAGTATTAAAAAAACGACTACGTACAATAGATTTGCAGCTAATTTGCATTAAAAATGTGTAGACTTTTGTAATAGAGTTTCACTATTTGAGTTTAAAATTTAAACTTGGAAAATTTATTAGTTTTTTCAGACACACAGTACAAAAGAGCAAGTGCGCATTTGAATATCTGTACGGTTATATAAGTCTCATCACTTGCCACGATTCAACTGCTTGGCAGCAGTCTTTTGCACCATTGCATTCCATTTTTTTTTTGTTTGTTTGTTTAATAACATTTATTTCAGGCTATCATTTTCATTTACGACAAATTTTTTTTTAAGTCACACTCTTTCCTTTTTTACCTGTTTTATTACATACAGATGTACATGTGTATTTATCTGCTATTTTTGGAGATTCCTTTCTACTGACAATTTTATTTTTTTTTTTAATGCAATTTACATTTTGCATATACAGCACTAAAAATTATCTACAACAGTTTATGGTAATCTATTATAAGTAATATTTGAGTTAAATTTGTTATTAAAGATTTTGCTTATCAGCTTAAAACTTGTTATTTTATTTTGTTATTATGTTTTTCATAATAAAGTAATTGCATTAAAGTTAAATTTATGGCCTAAGTGTATTATTTATTATTAATCTAACGGTAATTAACTATATTTATGATATAAAATCATTAGATTACTATGCAGTTTATTTATTTACATTTCAGTTACGTTGTTGTTTTTTTAACAATTTTCACTTCGTTTTTTGTTTCTTCTTATTTTAGTTTATGAGTTGCAAGTTGCAGAACTAAAAGTACGCATTGTGTTTACATACATTCATATACATACATATATAATACACTGTGTGCAAGTACTGTTACATGCATAAATATTTATTTTCTTGGTTTCCTGACTATTATACATACAAAAGACAAATGCGTTTGGTATTGTTTTGAAATGTATTGCATTTTCGGGATGATTATCGTTTCTTTTTTTTTTTTAATATTTTTTGCTCTTCATTCTAGTTCTTCTTTTTGTCACATTAGGGGTGTTTTTCTTTGATTTCATTTATTTATTTTACTATACACTCATTAATATACAAATTATATATGTATGTAAATTAAGTAAATTTGCTTATTTCTTTCTCTTATGAAATGTGTATAATATTTAGCTTGCAGGAGACCACGTGTGTGCATATGTGTATGTGATATGAGAAATGTTGGAAAGCATGAAAAATAATATTTAGTACGGTTATTGAATTTAAAATTTGTTTGAGAAAGAAAGATAAAACACAAACAATTATTTGCTCGATTCACGGAACTTAACTTTACAAATCATATATTTAAATATTTAACCTTTACAAGGTAGTGTCTATTAATAGAAGTTTTAGCTTTTAGTTTTTTAAAATATCAAAAACAATTTTCCAAAAATGTGTAGAAAAGTTTTACAGAATTCTGTAAATCCTGGAGCGGAGTTAATTTTACATTTAGGCTGGGCGTTATTACCTGCATTTGAAATTGTTCATTTAAATAAAAAATCAACGTGACAGTCTACTTGTTTTTTTGCTACATATGCCAAATAAATTACTTGTCTATGAAAAAAGAATGGCTGTATTTGCTTTAACAATTAGGTACCTTTCAAAGGATATATTCAAAAAAAAAAAAAACAGTGCATTTCTTTTAAGTTCGAATAGGACTACACCGGTTGAGTGTGAGAGTACTTAAATTTGAGTAGCTAAACTGAAATTGCACTAGAAATTTTAAGCATTCTTCCATATTAGGGCAAGTAGCAATCTTCACTTCCACTCTTCCAATTCAAACTGAACCTTTAATGAACAATGAAATGATAATAATGATCGTGAATTTGTCTCAGATTTATTTTTTTTTAGCAATAATAAACTGCCGCCCAATTACAGCCGTTAAGCAGCTAAGTATGCTCATAAAAAAAATACATTTTTTCTGTTGTATACACTGCAGCGCTGAAATTTTGCAGCTGCAAAGAAGACAATGTCATTGCCTGCAATCACTACCGCTCTCAACGCGCGTATTTTTAAACAGATATATTGTATAATAGACACTTTTACTACATTTCAAAACTCGTACCTGATATTGTCAAGCTATCAAAAATGATTAACACCTGAAATTCGAGCCAAAGCCAATAATTTTTCAACAGTAGTGGAAGAAAATTCCATAAATCGGACCCATAAATGTTTGAGTTTTTAAATATTTACCAAATATTTGGAAAATATGCCCATCTTTTTAGTGCTGAAATAGATACAGAATCATTTCTGTATATAAATTAATAGTGCAAATAGTAAAAAGAAATATGTATACAAAATTTCAAAATTAGACGGCAGCATGTGCTAGTTTCACACAAGAACGTCATCCGAACTAATATAGAAGAAAGAAAGCTAGTAAAGCCACTTTAATACGCTGTTTTGTGTTTGTGTTGAGAATTAAAAAAATTTGGCATATCTTTGTAACTCAGTGGTTGTTCTTTTATCGCTTGTTAGTAAGTAAATACATATAGTCATGACCGCGTCTATTTGAATATTCCGTTAGTTTGATCCAAATTAAGAAAAGATAACGCTTTACAACACAATTTTAAAGAGATAATGCAAGACTAATTAGCATGGTCATATCAACATTTCGAAAGATTTTCGCCTTCGCTGCTTCTATAAAAAATACAAAAATTTAACTCGGAAATGACGATAGCTATGTATGTATTTCTCATTTCATCAATGTAACCCTGAATTCCTTTCCTAAAACTCAAAATACAAAGCATCATCTGTGTCTTTTATTTCTAAATCATAGAAGATGGAAATGTCTAACCTGCACAACTATACCGAATACTAACATCCCATAGTGGGGTTGCGCATACTGAATATTGCCATTTCCGGTGGTGTCATCAACACCGGATGCTTTGTATTTCTTCCTCTAAGAATTTTGGGTAATAAATAGTTTCTACATTGGCAATTTCAAAATACGTTAAATACGTGTACAGTTTAAATACTTCTCCCTATATACATAATTATGCAGACGGCACATACGTACATACTTGGCAATATGTTTAAGAAAAGCGCTAATAGTTTTAGTTTGTTTAATGTGTTTTTGGTTTTGCTGATTTTTAAAGTCTTTCCTCATCGAAATTTAACAAAAAAGTAATTGAAAATTATAAATTTTGAAAAAAATATATATTATGTGACGTAAAAAAATTTGTTACTAATATTCGTGTGCTACTACAAGATAAGGCCTATTAAAATTTAAAACTATACAATATACATGCAATTAACAAAAAATGAAAATGGACAACAGTATACAAGTATAATATACATACATTTGTACATATGTACATATACATATAACGCATATATGTATACATATCGTGTAAGTATTCGATTACCTTCTTATTAAAAAATAAAATAAAATAATAATAATAAATAAATCGCTGAGCAAACTATATCTGTCTATGAAAAAAAAACTTCTACAGTGTGTAACGTCCGGTTAACTTTTGTATAAATCATATATGCTATAAATCAAAAAGTTCCTAAAATAAAAAAAAAGGTGTCTATGTCTTCTTAAAAAAAAAAAATTAACACTAATTGCAGAGGTTTTCATTTGGATTGAATTTGCCACATTTTAACGGCGGGCAGCAGCGTCCTTATTTTAGCACAAAATTTTAACGATTTTCGTCTGCTTGCGTCTGAGCGGGTGGCGCCGCGCGGTAGAACACATTCGCGCTACGTACGGGCAAAGGATGCGCCTCCGTGTTGAATATCCACTCATCGAGTGGCAGCAAAGAGTCGTCGGAAAAGAGCAAGTACAAGTACTAGTTAAAAGGAAGAAAAAAGAAAAAAAAAACAAAGCATTAAGTCAGAAAAATTTACAGCGCGTCGTTGATGACTCACCTTTAACGTCTCCGCCAAGAAGAAACTCTGCTGCACATCATCCTTCTGCGGCATCTCCTGATATACGTTTTTAATGCCGCAATAGCCATGTGGTGTGCGACAGTGGGCCTCTAACGCTTGCACAGCCTCCCAGCCCCAATCACGATATTTCTGATCGTGCGTCAAACGCCATAGCACAAAGTAGCTCTCGATTGTTTCCGGTCGCAGTATGTAGTATTTCTCTTGTGATTTCAAGGCACGCGCTTCGGCTGCGTCGCTGAAGCTGCAGTAAAAACAATAGATATTTGAAATTAGAAAAAAAATTTTAAATTTTTTTTATTAAGGTAATTCTCACTTACCGAAAGGCTTCAGGTCCTAATTTAGTGGCGGTTCTTGCGTAGCTCTCATGACAGGTATTTGTCAGACCCTTGCCGATTTCCATAAATTTATTAGCATATTGGTTTTGTCGCGTATTGGCTGCTAAGGCGAAGAGACCACCTGGAGGGGGAGCGCAAATAATAGGAGAGATATGTTTAGAAATACATAAGAAAGCGGATTTTTACATACATACGGAGCTAAATGTATACAGTGGAGGCGGAAATAATAGAAATGCCTAATTTTTAACTTCAATACTTATATAAAAGTTTAGGAGTGCCGTGAATTTCTTCATGATCCGATGAAACCAAAACTAAACCAAATTGGTATGGACTCAAGGGTGGTCCACCACCTTTCCGATGAAAAAATATTCGAAAACGGTTCACGTGATCCCAAGTTATTCGGTAATATACAAAAAAAAAATAATAATATTCTGATCAATTAATAACATTCTTCCTTTTTTTTACAGTCGCTCAATAAAAGGAAATGCGCAACACCGTTACCTAAAAAAAATTATCACAAATCAACGCTATTTTTTAGCTACTTGAAACTTGCACTTTACTGTACTAAAATACTCAAATTTTTTCTAGAAATTCTCAGAAAAATGGGAAATTTTCGAATTTTTTTTTTTTTTAATTTTTATAATTTGTGTACATAGTTTGAAATGCGCATTTATATGCAGTTACAAACGGAGTATACCCAAAACTGGTCAAAATAAGGTATTTCTATCATAAATAATTTCGAAGTTAAAATGAACTTAAATGAGCTTAAGACAAGCTTCTCCATTGAGCTTTTTGTTATCAATTCTTATGTAGGAGATATGCAAATGTGCCACACTGAAAATAAAATAGGATTTCCATTCTTTGCGCCGATTCGAACTGAGCAGATAATCGATTTGACAAAAAAAAAATTGTCAAAAATAATCGTTCAAATCAATCGGAAAGGAAATAAAAAATTTGATTTGGAAAATATTTGTCTAAAAATATATATATCTACTAATGACAAGAAAATCATGAATCGAACATTTTTTTTATATATTCTTTTTTTTTAATTTCCGTGAAGTAACTTTAAATGCAACACTCCTTCTACCAGTTACCCATTCTAATATAGCACTATCAAATTTTGAGAAAGGTACGTCTTAGTTTGTGTGTCTAAAGTTTTGAAATCACACAAAAACACGATGAAACACGTGAACTTAATTTTGAGATTATGGATATTTTTCCCGTTTTTTCAGATCAGGTAATTTTCCCACAATGTTTTAATATTTATGATTTTTTTTTTTTTAATTTGTGTTAAAACTTTTTCTTTTGCCGAAAAATTATGCTACTAGCGATGAAAATCGAAAGATAAACAAAGAAGTTTTGAATAATTAAATGTGCAATAAAATTTGTATGATATAGGGCCAGAAATCGATACCTGAGTGGACGATGGACCTATCTCGGCAGACAGTTCGAAAACGCCCTATCACAGAAAACTTTCCACCCTTTACGCCCGGTTCAGAATTTGGTATTTCAGGATTCGGTTCAAAAACACTACATCTCGGCTGCCGATTCAAAAACGCTCTATCTCAGCTCATTTTCAATGTATTTTTTATTTGAGATAGGTCGTTTTTGAATCGAATTCTGAAGTAGTGCGTTCTTGAAAAGTTCGATCTTCCACTCCAGGTATAGAAATAATGTTACTCATACGCCACATCGTACATGGCGTATGTGTCTCGGCGTTTTTTTTTTTTTGTAATTTTGGTGTCCTAGGGTGTTATTATTTTTTTGCGTAAAGAACCAGCACCGAAACCAAAAAGGCTTCAGAAATATTATGTTGACTCTACATCATACATTTTCCATTGTGGTCGAATCAGCACAAGAACGTTCAGGTGGTCGCCGAAAATATGTGGTTACGCCAAAAATCGTCGAAAAAAAATCATGGTATGAAACAGGACGTTCGGGGCACATCTCTCAACTGAATATATACTACATATTTTACCAAATATGCCCAAATATTCAGGAAACGAAAAAGCTGTGCGCGCCGTGTGACCACTTAATAGGTGAGTTGGGCGATGTTCAACCGCAATCCGGACGAGTTTTTACGCCGTTTCATAAACGTAGTTAAAAAATGGATTCATTATAATTCACCATACACCAAGAAACAGTCAAAGCAGTGGACTTATCCGGGTGGAGGTGGAACAAAGAAGTCCAAAATATAACATTTTGAATTTTCAAATATTCATTAATTTTCAGTACCCGTAAAACTTTGAGCGGAGGAGTCAAATCAAATTAAAATGAGGTACCCATACTTTTTCAAATTACACTCACCTGCAAAGCACGCCAAGTGATCCATTTTATGTTCCAAACGATCGAATTTCAAATCAGACACATACGTCAGACCACCCGAACTGGTGCGGATCATATGCTCATTAATCGATACCATTGCGTCATCGAACATTTCACGCGCCTCCTCATCTACCTGACCCGACTGCAGCCACGCCTTCAACAGATACTCGAAGAAACTGTCGCCCAAAGCGCCCAGCGACATGTGCACTGCAAAAAAAAAAAATAATTATATGTAGTATGTAGATATAAAGAACCACTAAATATTTTCGCACACCAACAACCACTACTCACTTTGTCCCCACTTGCCCGTCTTGGGATTGATAAAATTCGGATAGAGACCCTTTGGCTTCTCGATCTCCTTCAAAACTTGTCGTATAGTTTGTACACGTTCTCTATACAATGGATTACCAGTTATATCACTAAGGTATACAAATTCGCAATGTAATGTGCCAACTTCGGATAAAATCGAACTGCCACCTGAAGCCCAGCCATAATTCCTACTAGCACCGGTTCGTGTATTTACCAATGCATATGGTATACCGGTGGGCGTCTGGAAGGCGGGCAATAGCTTGTCAGCAATGTGTTGTGCTTTCTCTTTGTACAGATTATCACCAGTGAAGGCATAGAGTGTCAACATGCCACCCACAAAGCGTATATTCGTTTCAAATACTGATAAGTCGGCGCTAATGTTGTCAAGCGAAAATTTACGTTCGATCCAATCGCGCCCTTCTTGATACTCCTTCTCCAATCCCATCAAATAGAGTGTATCCAGGCCATCGACTATGGTTGCGCCAAGATCGTAGGCACCAAAAATACTACCCGAATGCGGGCGTTGACTCAGCGGTCGCAATTCGTTTTTACCCCAAGCGTAGAGTTTGTAATTTTCCCAAGCGTGGAGCATCATCTGGAAAGAGTAGATAAAATATAATGAATGTTAGAGGTTTTGCAAATGGTTAGTAGCGCACCGGGAACCAGTGACTAGTATAATAGGGAACTTACAAATATTTAAAATTACGAAATAATATTATCAAACTGTAAAGAAAATGTGGGAGAGGCTCTTGTAGTGAAGTAACCTTTGAGTTTACTTATGGGAGGTTCTATGAGAAAACGAACCTTAGTGCAAAAATTATTATTTTTTTTTTATATAAAACTAACAAACGTGTGCATAAGACATTTGTAAACATCGTGAATCAACCAAAATATAACAAATTAAAGCTTTAAATTAATTTTTAATACTTTGTTTTTACGTTTGGAAATCAACTTCTAAGTAAATTATTTATTTATTTACCACAATTGCATTTTCTTTTCCATATAGTTAGACAAGAATAATTCAACAGTGAGGCATGTCCCACTCGTGACAGCTACGGGCGGGACAGTTGTCAGAGGTGGGTTTACAGGGCTGATAAGCTTCATTTGTTTGTTGAGGTGGACGTAGGTGAGGAGGGGGGAAGGCGCGGTCCCGCCCATTATCGATGCCCCAAAAAAATTGTCGAATTGGTTATGTGTATAAGCTCGTATACAAACAGATCTGACACTTCTAATCAGCTTTTTAAGAAAAATTCCAAGTATGCAGTTATAAAGCCCATTCAATTAAAAAAAAATCGCGCTGATTTTTGGCAATTTTTTTTGTGGAAGGTGTTGCTCATTTTCGACTAATTGTCGAACATACTTTGTATGCAAGAGCTTGCGTAAAAAAAATTGCCAAAAATCAACCCGATTTTCTAGCAACTTCAAACTTGCACTTTGTTATACTAAAATTGAATGGGCTATATAACTGCACATTTAGAATTTTTCTTAAAAATCTTTTTAGAAACTTCGTACAAAAATTAAACAAACTTTAACAATTCCACCCAAAACTTTTAAACTTTTTATTGAGAATTTTCAGCAAAATTCTAGGTATGCACTTTTATGAGCCATTAAATTTAGGTAAAAATAAAAATTTCAAGACGGTAGGAAACCGCGTTGATTTTTAATAATTTTTTTGGTTGACGGTGCTAGGCATTTTCTTCCACTATACTAGGACAAAACGTAAGTGAATTGAACCTCTACTTGGCTTCTTATATTTTTTTAATAAATAATCTTCATTCAAAGAATTGGTTTTAACAACTTTTGATTCTAAAATTTTAGCAATAAATGAAAATGAAAAACGTGATACGCATGTAATAGACTGGAATTGATATGAAAAGTAATATATGTACATATGTATGTGTGTATACGACCGAGCGCTCCACCCGCCAGCGTTTAGAGTGAACAATTGTTTAGTACAGCCGGTCTTACTTAATTAATTACATTTTCTGAAATATAATATACCTATTTGAATTTTGACTATTAGATTAAAACAATGAAAAGGTGTAACACTGGGTTAATGTTTTAATAATTTTGTATATACCAATTGTAATCTATACAATTTGTAAGTTATAAAAACAACGACTTAAGCTGGTTATAGCTTTTTTAATGTTATTCTCAAGTATTCGCAATTCGCATTCGCACTTTCGCATTCCAAAAATTACATATACATATTACATTCGTAACGTCCCTGGTATGTACATACATACATATTTAGATAAAACAAAGAAAAAGCATACTTTTCATTTGCGCAGTAAAAGTTGCGTATACGCCATGTGAACCCAAGACTATCTATGAAAGCGCGTCCTTCTCTCAAATGGCCTTCAAATATATACATATATTATGTACATCTTTACTACCGTTCTGATGACATTAACAATTCAGAGTTTTGCTGTGTAAAATTACAAAATCGTAAATTAACAAAAATGACAAGAAGAGCATCCACAAAGGTTTTCATTGTTCAAGCTATAATGGGCGCATGCACTTTTCTAACTTACAGTATTGTATTTTTCAATCATCAGACGGGCACAAATGCATTCAACGTAAACAAAATTCAATAGCATACACTTTAATACATATGAACGTGCATACATACACACATATGATTGTATGAAAGTGGTTGGTATATTGGATCAGTGCGCGTGACGCAAGAGTATCTGATTACATGGAAGCTATTACAGAGCATATATTGTTTGCTTGTGCCACCGGTAGGCAGCAATGTGCACCGAATAGTGGCAATTAATGCCAAGTGATGCGTCACAATTGAAATAATAACAACAAATACTACAACTACTAAATGACAAAGTAGAAATGCATTTGTTATTCTATCAGCCGGCAAGGCAAACACATGCAAGTCTTTTTGAAAAATAAAATTATCGTAGCTTGAGAGCGAGCATATAGAGAATTGCTTATAAATTTCAATTAAGTACGCAGACTGGCAATCTACAAACGTATTTAACATAACCCAGTGGGAAAAATTAGAAGCGCTTTTAAATAAACGCTATCGGGAAGGGCTTTTTTCAATAAGAGCTGTATCAGCAGATCTTCCAAAACAGCTGCCAGTCTAATGCAGATGAGAAGTTGTACTATTTTCAGTGCAAAGGAATTCATATGATTTGTCGATGCCTGTCTGGTGTAAAGTTAAACTTGAACTGTGTCATTATTGTGCTATGTAAAGTTTTCCCTTCTGGGGGAAGCCGAATGAAGAAACGAGCGAGTAAGGTCGCCTATCACTTCAAAAGAATTGAAATAAGTGCTACCAGAAGGCCCGGTTTTTCTAATTTTACCGACTGGGAATTACCCAAGCACATGTTCATATACATTCAAACATATGGACAAGAACTTGTAAAGAAGTGGACCAATGGAACCACTGTGCGAAATGGCAACAAATCAAATAAATTGCAAATACTGCTTGAACTTGAACAGCACGCTCTTAGATGTAGACTCTGACACCGAAATTAATGGATGAATTACGATAATTTGTGAAGGTAAAAGTTTTAAAAAGTTAGTTAACAATTCGTAAATACTTAAAAAAACGATATAAGCATTTAACAGAAACTTCATAAGTTCTTTATTAAGAAAATTGTTATTTTTTTTCGAAATTTCGTCTTTTTATCACAAAAGAAAAAAAAACTGTGCTTTGTCAAAGTCAACATCTATTTTAGAAAGTATGTTATACATATATACGCTAGCCCAATAAAGCTTATGTACCTATACTGATTTTTTTGCAATGCAGAGATTTTTTAATTTTGTTTTCAATAACTCTATAAATATTTCATATAAGATCTGAGTATGCAATTTTGCAGCGCATATTTATATGAAGAAAATGCCTAGCACAACAAAAATAATGCGATAAATCAGTAATATATATTTTGTAGCCACTAGAAACTAGAAACTGATAGTGTTTTATTCTAAAATTCAATGGGCTACAAAACTGAATACCCGATATTTTCCTAGAAAATATAATTAACTTCTAACAGCTTTTGTTGATTTTTTTTTTGTTTAATTATGTCGGAACGAATCCGCTTTGTTCCTAACGCTACAGACCTTACTGCTTCGATTCTATCGCAGTAACAACTGGCAATTTGTATATAGAACAAAAAATATTTTCTCCTCCGATTTGTGGCGTGCGCCTTGATGTTGTCACACATATTATATGAAATACTCATCTATTAAAAACTCTTTAATTCGGTGGCTGCAGATTGAAGGTAAGACAACTTGACTTAAATGTAACGGAAGGATGGAAGGAGCCAAGTCCACTTATTTTTTTGTACAAACCTTAAATTCATATTTCCTTACAACTTTCTAGATTTTCTAATGCAATGCGATATGAATTAATTGAGAAAAAATGTTATGTCGAGTCTCGTATTTTTTGGTTCGATTCACAGATCGAATCGGAATTTAAAAATCGAATCGGAAGGGCTCAATTAATGTATTTTCGATTTAATCGATTTAAAAACGGCATCTTTATTTGAGCTATAGTAGAGGTTTCTAGGCCCTTTGAGAGCTAATCTTTGAAATTGCATTCGACATTTTTGCAAAATTTCAGAGTAAAAACTCGTAGAGCAATTTCGAAGTTTGGCTTTAAAATCGTGGTAATTTGGTTGTAAAGATCTTGAATAGCACTACAACACATTTGCTGTTCGAGTTGCATGCAAAATTGAGGGGCTAAAATAAATTTTTTTCATTTTTGAAACCATAAAACATACAACAAACAAATTGTTGAAAGAAGTCCGGTGGCTTTGTCATGTCAAAGCCAGAAGTCTTTCGTAAAACTAAGAAGACAGCACGAGCCAATCATTATATCGGCAATGTGATTTCTAACACATCGGCTTACTCTACAACTCAAAGCAAATAAAAAAAAATTGAATTGCGTTTTTCGAGGCACAAACAGGCTTTGAGTGCGTTCTGCAGGTACCTGAATGGCATACAAAAAGTTGCGATAAGGATAAAAATTTTTGTTTTTCATTGTAAGGCGCAAAATATCACAAGGCGCACGCTACAAATCGGCGGAGAAGCTCGGCCAAATACTAACATATTGTGTATGCGCCAATCCATTATTATTTTATTATTATTATTATTATTATTATTATTAATGTGCAAAATATCGTTACCTAAACATAGAAAGGCCCCAACTCATTTGCTTTCGAAATTAAACTTTGTGCAAATAAATTAATAACTAATAAATTAGTTTCAGAGATTAACAAAAGCCAGAATTTTGAAGAAATTCCCAACCTAAGAACTATAGTTTTTATAAATTTTTGTAAATACTCGGGAAAGATACAAACATTTTAGACTGAGCTTTTTTATATTAAGCTAACGATAAATTTTATTTCATTTAATATAAGGTAATTTGGCCAATTTTTATTTCAAATACTTAATTATAACTTATTTGATTTGATTCCATCTCAATTTACTAAATCCGATGTCAAAGTGTGAATTTGCTTAAACGCGTCCATTTTGGGCACCTTTTATGTTTGCAACCGTTCATTGATCATTACAACGTTTATTAATTGTAAAAATTACTTAGAAATACCAAACTGTTATTACGCTAACGTT